GTGTAAGCAAGTTACCACGGTTTGCTTTGGACAAACAATAACTTTTCAAGTCCGGCTAAATCTGTTTATTAAAACTCTCTCGGTAAATTATTCCTCCTTTAATGCGAAACCCGCTTAGATGCCCATCCGAAGTCTAGGGCAGGTATTGTCATTGGAAATTTCACGAATATATCCCAACGTCCATTTTCTCTAAAATTTATCAACATTTTGCTTGATATAATTACGTGAACACAATTTTTGCACAAGAAAAGGACATGTCACTCAAGTGGCTTTATCGGCAAGTAAAATGCGCAACGATTAAGACGTATATGAATTCTCATATCAGTTTCCGTATTCAAGTTTCATGAGATAGGTCACATAATGTACGTCTCGATTCTTATTTCCGAAGTATGTCTGCGGAAATATGAATTGTAATCAGATCTTTGGTTATTGGCCAAATGCTGCTCGCACATTACCTTTTAGCTTTCATCGGCTCCTCAGTCTCCTGGAATTCTTTTTTAAGAAATTACGAACATAGAAGCCACAATATTTTTTACTTCGAAAAGTCTTTAACAACGTTGCGCATAAAATTTACTAATAAAACCATTAAAACATGGGAACCTCATCCTCACTTTAACGTTCGCAAAATGTCTATCAGGCTATACAGCGCCAGGGCAAAAGTTAGGGAGCTACCACTTTTACTGAACTATTTCAGGGTACCACAAGATTGCCTTAAATGTACCGCATACATTCATGAGGTTTCGCCCATGTCGACGTCGGAAAAAGCATTTAAATCGGTAGAAAACTAAAAGCCCGCATTTTGCATTACGAGCATGTTGTATCGCAGACGCGTATGATAACTAAGACTGTAGTCGTGGTTATAGCTGTGTCCACCATGCCGAAGGAATAATAAATATTCCAACTCAAAACGACTTTAGCTTGCATTGGTCATCATCAAGCTTGTATAAGGATGTATCTCAAACTACGGAATTTTACTCCTCGTTCTATGTTTTCTGCTCCTGTTTTACATTCATTTTTAAATTTAATTTTTCATTCATTCTATAGCAAATATTACAAACAGATGAAATTCATAGATGTTTTGAGCGATGTTAAATAAATCATGTTGACTCAATTGTGAAAAACTCGGCACCTCAATTGAAGTCGAACCCACGACAGTAAGGAAAAGGTTTTAGTACAGCCAACGCTCTAACCACTCGAGCCACTTGTTTACTAAAACTCTTGCGGATAAATTACCCTCCTTTCGCTTATGTTAATGGGACAAATAATTAGGCCTCTACTACAGGGAACAAGAAAGTGTTATGATTTAGGAAAAAATGAAGTAACATATGCATACTTTAAGACGCAATCTACTTTCTCACGCTTTCGTGGATCGAACCAGTTTGAAATGGGAAAACGTCCCTGGAACACGACAGAACGTATATTGAACCTCCAGCAACTGCTGCCAAACGCTTTTATATGAAACAAATTCTGAAAAGAAGATGAAAATGTACCCAGCCTTTCGTGAGTTCAATTCCCTGATTCAGACTAAGCATCCCGGCATGTAGTACTTGGAAGCATAGAACGCCACCTGGCAATACTGAACCTGGCTTCGTATTTGGTTTGCGGCAAATATACAATCATATATGATGGTTTTTTCAATGTAATCACTAGTCAGTTTTGTTTTACATGCTTGTCCATCAGTAAAGCTGCATATTGTCGAGATTCACATGGAAGCTAATCATCGAAGCTGACATTCCAGAACATTATTCCAAATATCGGAGCTTACTAGGGCCAGGTACCTCTCGTTTCACGTCGGAAAGCTTCGCTCTTCTGTCTTTCTCAAACTTTCATTGAAATAACTAGGTCCGTTAAACTGCTCTATGAAAGAGCAAAAACCATCTGGGGTGGAAGAAATTTCAAAATCCTTTCGTAAAACACTCGGAACCTGTTTACTGTAAACTCATCATACCACCGGCGTCTGATGCCGCAGATTTTTGCGAGCAAGGGAAAGGCGAATGGCAGTTGATAATGGCATGTAGTGCTTATCTGTTACAGGCACTTCAATTCAGTGTCGCCTACAGACGTCATCCTTCAACTTTTTTCTCGAAGGAAGGATATAATTTGGTTTAAAAACCTTTCTGATTGTGAGATTTCTTAATATCATGAAATGACCATTCATAAAACTCCATGTCTCTGCATTTGCCAATGCAGCTTCTAAAGTTAGGAATATGGCTCAAATCCACTGCTAAATTTTATGAACCCCACATGATTTCCTCTTAATACAATAAAGAAATGTATGGTTTTCCGTACGCGAAAAATTTACAGCTTGTAGTTTCGAAACCCTGAATGCAAGTGTAGCGGCAGGTCGGGTTACAAACTATTCGGGAATTGGAAGCGTTTTTGAAAACTGACTTTAACCCTTTCTTCGAATATAAAATTGGAAGAAGACGTCATTTTCCACTGAATAAGCAAAAGAATGAATATTAGTATGCGCGTTTTCCATGAAATGTAATCGAATTTTGTAAGGGCATCGAAAATCAACGAAAAACTGCATTCTGAGCAAGTGGTCCTTTTTGCAGAGTACAATTTTTACATGCAGCTGGAAATAAGTTCGTTTGAACGCCGGCATCCTGAGGTAACTGAATTATTATAGAATAATGCTGTATGATGATGAGTTTTACAACACTACTTCATTAATATTTTCGAAACGAAAACGCATTTTGGAATTTCGGTTGACATTTCAGGGGTTAATTCATCTGCCGTACCTGAAAAATGAGTATTTAGAAGAACTCTGGTAGGACATGGCTGTGCGCAAGACTTCAAAGGGTTAGGACTGCTGTTTGATTTATGGCTAGGGTTAGGATGACTTTGGTTAGGGTTGGGATTACCGTTACGGTTTAAGTTCTAACAAGGAAACAGGTATCGTCTGAAATCTAGCATAATGTAACGCGTGGTACTAGGCGCCCGTACTTTTCTGTTTGACAGGAAGCATTTGCGCCCTCTTTCAATGCAATATAACTGAAAGTATGCAGTTATCATAGGCAAATAGAAAAATTAAACTCCATTTAAGCAGCAAATTTTTCGCGTGTAATTTGTTTCCATTAACGAATTAGTACTAATTCAGGAGTCAACATCCTACTACCTAGGAAATACCCCGGTATTGTATTTCATATCAGTTGTTTTAATCATTGAGTAGCACATCAAAAGTTTTTGGTAGGGGTTATGCGGGTCACGGCGCACTGTGTGTCTCCAAAAAAATTCGCAGAAAATATCCAGCCGCTCGATAAATTCGTCGTCTTCTTGCTTGTTGGGTCTTTGCTAACTAACACGGCGAACATATTTTCTGAGTAATTGGGTTACTTTCATAAAGGCCTGTGGGTTGTTGCTTTTTAATTTTCTCAGAAAGTATCTAGGAACTTAGCGCAGATCAGTTTATTCGAGGTCTATAGGCTCAGATAGTAAATTCTATGTATGAATATTCGGCGCGATGCCCATCAGCCACAGCTGGTAACCACGTAATATTCATTAACTGCCGACAGGCAGCTAGTAGTACACTTTAGAGTAAAGTGGTACCATACTAACAGCACAGGTACTAACCATACACGCGTGTTTCGCCGATGTTTTGCCGCTGCATGGCGCAGCTGCGAGGGGTTCGGCTCGTCAGTGGGTCCCCCAGCATTCCCCGTCTGTTATCCGGTAGATACGTCCTGGCGCAGCTGCAGAATATCGGTGAAACACGTGTGTATGGGCTTTTGGTTAGTCCCTGTGCTGTTTGCGTGGCATCATCTCACCCTAACGTATACTACTAGCTGTCTGTCGGCAGTTAATGAATATTACGCGGTTACCCTCTGTGGCTGATGGGCTTCGGTCCGAATATTCATGCGTAAAATTCTCGGTCTGTGCCTAAAGACCTTGAATATACTGGTCTACTCCAAGTTCGTGGATAATTTCTTGGGAAATGTAAAAGCGGTAGTTTCTAAATTGGAGTATATACCAGAAAACAGACGGGGAATGGTGGGGGACTCAGTGACGAGTCGAACTCCTCGCAGATGCGCCATGCAGCAGCAGAATATCGACGAAACACGCGAGTTACAGCGTCAGTTGGCAATTCTCCAAGCCATGGCTTTCAGCATACTGTGATGGCTTCAAGGGCGTCGGATTGTTTATAATGAAGAAAATGCGCTACGACATCGGCCCCCCTCTCTCTCCACCCTTACACACCAGTCTCCTGTCCGAGCGGATCAAATGACTGAATCGGGGAGTGGATGCAGTGGCTGACAGAGCTAGACAGTCCACTTTCACGACCCAACCCCCAAACGCTCACACTTGTATTACGCACACAAGAGGGTAGAACGCTCGGGTCTCACATACAGCGGAGGAGCCAAAAAACACTCTTCCCAGTTACGTGAGAGGTGCCGATGATGTGAGAAGTTAGAGAGATGTGTGCGTAGTGCTTGTGCTGGTGAGGGGGTGCCTGTAGATGTGGCCGTGTCTGCAGTGGTTTACCACAGGTTTTCATGAAGGCACATATGACCTTAGAGGCTCACATCTGTGTGAATCGCGGGGGCAGTTAGAGTGGGTGCGATGGTGCTCCTGGCCCTGGTTCGCAAGTGACCGATCAGGCCAGTGCGTGATGTACGTGTGCAATGGCACTGAGGGCAGTATGGGTTCGGGGCTGTAGATTATTATTAGATTATTAGATTATTAACCGTGTTTATGCTGGTGAACAGGGCGTTGTCAGTGCTGGATATGAGAGCGTTTCGGGTTATGCAGTGCAGGCATGAGGTATATATACTGCGGTGAGCTCAGCTTTCGTGGATGTACATGTGACCGAATAGGCCCATACGGGGAATGAAGGTGCCTGTGTATGGCGGTCATCTGCTGTGGGGATCATCCACCTGCACCCCTCCCACGCTTCCGGTCTTTTTGACTCTGTCTGGACGTCGGACCCAGGTGGGAGGGAAGGAGTGAGGGCGGTAGATGCTGCGCAAGTCCACTAGGTCGCACACAAGTCACCGTGCCTAGTTTACCTTACTGTTGAGCATACGGTGGACATCGTCGGCAACGACAGTCGCACTGCGGGCTGCGGAGGCGGGTGCGAGCATTGGCGCATCCGTTCCCGTGTGCCAGACTCGCAAGTGGCCTGCCAGGATAATGCCCAAAGTGAATAGGAGATCGTAATATGGCCAGGTGGGGATCAAATCCGCATTTTCGGTGGTGGGGTCTGTGGGGTCGAACGTATTACCTGACGGGACATCGGATGTCGTCACATTGGTGACGGGAGTGGGAAAAGTGGTGATGTTGGAGGAGTTGGTCGCTTTGATCGACGCAGGCGGTATAGCGTCAGTCTTTGAGGGCAGCGGGGCACCACCAGTGTAACCTCCGGCGATGGGAGTGGTCGTCGTCGTGGAACTTGAGACAGACGTGGCAGTAGGGGGTGTTTGTTTGTCGTTCTTTTTGGAATGTCATTACATTGCGTCCGAAGCTGTCAGACGAGGCCGTTTCGCGCGCAGAATGTGCTATGGTAGCGTGGGCATGTTGGAAGTTGTTGGCTGTTGGCTTTGTGGACCCCAAGCGCTTGTGAGTTGCGAGCTGTCCTTTCTGTTTTGACAGTGGCGATCCGGTGTGCGTCGTAGATTGCTACGCTGGTCTTTACGAAGATTTAGGCAATCAGAAGACGAGGTGGCGAGCATGCGTAGCTTTTGATAAATTCTCGTCGGGCCAGTACGTTAATATGGGAACGGGGTAGAAGTAAAACATATCAGCGATAAGAGGAATCGATAAAAGTTCGACTTAAAACACAGGCGGGGTGTGGGAATGTAGGGGATGGGGGGGAGGGGGGGGGTAATAGCAGTCAGTGTCAGGGGCGGGGTGAGGGCGGAAGGGCGCGGAGTGTTGCAGTGTTGGTCGACCTTCGACCACTGGAGGCGCGGAGCCTGAACGTGGTTCTTCTGTGCGCATAAGATTGGCTTTTGTAACCTGATGGCGGCCGCTTTTGCTGTCGCTAACGGGTGCTGGCCCAGTAGCTTCGGATAGCTCAATGGGATCTTATAAATCACACGAAAAGCTTCGTTGGGATCCACACGATGTCCGGAATCGACAACATGCGCGAGAATGGCACTGCTTATGCTCCTTGTTTCGCCTTTTCCCAGCCATGCTGGGAGGTGTTTCCGTATTCTCTGGGATAAGCGCCGACTTGTGCGACCAATATAACCTGCTCCACAGGGTCAGATGAAGGAATGGATGCACATTGAGGTGGTCTGCGGTGGCAACTTATCCTTACCTTCTCCGCATATAATTAGTAGAGAATGATATTCGGACCCTTGCTGCTGGGAATGTTCGCGAGACAGATTGATCAAGGCGTCTCCTTAGGAGTTCACTCGCATCGTCCCCTTGGAAAGAGACTTTTAGGAACAAAATTTTCTTTTCGGCGGTCGGTGTGGCGGGTTTTATCGGTCGTTCGGCAATGTTCTTTGCAATAAACCTGTCAGGAGACCCGTTTTCGCGAAGGAAGTCCTGGATTTTTCTGAGCTTCTCCTCGATGCGATCTGTTGAGCAAATTTTTCTAGCTCTTTGTGCGAAACATCGGACTAAATTTTGTTTTTGTTGGAGGGGTACGAAACTGGCGAATTTCGTGTATTGTCATGTATTTATGCAATCTACGACGACAATGATGCATGTCTTACTGGAAGCCCCCACTCACGCCGTGTTCCGCAACAAGGAAAGACGAGATGGAGAATCAAGCTTCACCAAATTTCCATGTGGGTGAGTGTCCCCGTGGGTCAAGAGCGCTTCAAAAGCTATCAGCCAGTTAAGTAGGGGCTATACGCAGGCCGGAGACAATCATCCAACGACATGTGATGAGGTCAAAGGGCTCGCTGTACAGCAAGAAAAGTCTGGAGTATTTGCGAAGTTACGAGCAGTGTACGGCGCCGCGGACGCATGAGGACTTCTCCGAACGATGATGATGGCGCCAGCTGCCAAAACCCCATTCTTTCAACGGGACTGGCTTCACTTTTAAGTCCAACTAATTTGAAGACCCTGCGGGGTGACAATCGCATGAGTTGCTAGCCGATTCATAGCTGTATGACTATTAGTTCATCAACAGGCGCAAAGGTCTCTCCCTTGATGGTCAACATTAAAAAACGTTACCAGGGCAAAACAATTAGTCACACGGTAGTCGCGTGGATTAACGCTGCTGCGCGGAACACGTAAACAACTACGGTGATGTGGTAATCAGCCGCCAAGCATGGACACCCACAGTTAATTAGATAACTGTTTATTTTAGTGTGTACGTCTGATTATCAACACCAATCCATAAGCACATCACCCTGTGCGGGTCTACTAGTCACATTTGCTATTGGCTCAAATGACCGGCTCTTCTTACTCTGTGCTATTTCATGGAACTCTCCTTTTAATTTTGACTAGTTGTAAACTTGAAGGGTTGGCAGAGGCTACAGCTGTTGCAGTAGAAGATGCGTTTACTTGAAAACAAGGCAGACGACGTCGAGTTTTGTTTAGTACCTGAAAAGATGTATTTCTATGCATGTGTGGCACCTCTGAAAATCTCTGAGAACAATACCCACTCCCTGGTTTCTCAACTGTAAGGCCAGTTTATTATGGTCGGATTTACGCTTCCGCCTTGAGCTCAAGGTAAACTCCCTCTTCACGGTCCACAGACTAGTTAAGACGCATCAATATGCTTTGCAAATAATTGTATGACAGCTTTGCTTATTTGAACGTCCTGGCAAGTCACTAATGCTCTCTATTCGTTGAAAAAACCCTGGATTACTTCAGTCTGCCTTGTATGGCCTCAAAACAATCGTACGGCCTGAAAATAAAGATCTCGAATCCGATCTCTGAATTTACGCCAGCCTTGAAGTTTAATGTTGTTAGATTTGGCGGGGCTGGTTGTCAGTTTCCAGGGGACACCACGTTTTCTCACCTGGAAAACTAGCCTGACTGTTGTTCTACTTATTTTTTCGCAGTCGACTCTCTGAAACCAGAATTTGGAAACCGCTTTTGATCAGGAATGCTTAAAGGAATCAAGTTGGTAGGATACCAGTTACCCATCTCGTGCCCAGGGTTCATAAAGCTACTGCTAATTTGAACATACTGACTAAAAAAACAAAGTCTGGTGTGCGTTTGTGGGTAGCGTTACTCAGTCGATGACCGAGCGGTTATCCAGCCCTTGGAGGGTGATGATCCGGGCAAATGCAGGACCATGTGTCGCCCTTTCATTCCACTTGCAACCAATCTGCCGGAGGAAATGGTCATCTATCCATCCAGATCAAAAACATTACGAAAGACAATATTTACTGAGAAGAAGACGATAGCTGCAATACTGCCACCCTGAATCTGCAGAAGACTAGCTCGAAGGACAGGGGTGTCAAACAACTTGGAACACACGTATAAACCATCAAATCCAAAGAAAGGTCGGAATGTTCTTGAATCTCCTTCTGACGTGAACGTCTATCCTTATCTGGTTTTTGGGCCTTAAGGTTTGTGCGCGTCTGCCATGTCATGATTCAGCAAAACGTGGCCCTTTCAGCCTGCTGTGCGCTGACAACTCTCTGACACCTGGTACCCTGCCGCTAGATGCGCTTGCGCTCCCACTGGCTATACACGTCGTGAGCATGGCCGCGCAGTCATTCCCGTCGTCTTTCTTATTCATTGTGGTGCTGCTGATGTTGCATAAAATCCTGGTCAAGTGTTTGCTGTGGACCAGGGGTTGTGATGGTACGAACAGGTGCAAGTCCGGCCGTGCCAGCCACCTGCACCCTCCCCCGCCCACGGTCTTCTTGGCTCTGTCTTGACACCGGTCCAGGTGGGGAGGAGAGGGTGCGGTAGATGCTGCGCAAGTCTGTTTCCCCTTTAAGTAATTCACGCGTAAGTCACCGTGCCTGCTCTCACCTTGCTGTGGAGCACACGGTGGAAACCGTTGGGCACGACGGTCGAACTGTCGTGTGTGTATATGCAAGCAAGTAAGCACTGACCAAATGGTAGGGCTTTTGATGTCGTGAAATTTCAGCGGCGTTTGCCATTGTATTCTGAGCCGTGCAACTAACGATTCTTGGCAGTTCTTCTTCAGAAGCCATTTTGATAGACAGCGCAATTGTGAGCTGACAAATAATAGGCTGGGACAAAAGTTCTGCAGAACTTGCAGAAAACCAGATTTCCGTGCAAAAGATTTGCTGAACAAATTCATGCCTTGCCTTTTAGTAACAAAGACAATAACAACTTTTCTTCAAAATAGAGCCCGTAATTCTCAACACTTTTCTGCCACCGATCTGCAAGAATCCGGCACTAGTTAATGTACTAGTCCTTGGGCTTTTGTCCGAAAAATTCCTTGCATGCTTGTTGGACGACCTCGGAACATGTGCTGCATTGGTTGGAAGAGACCATAGATGGTGTAGCATCGGGCCTGCAGGTCGGCTGTGCAAGGACCTCGACACCCTCCAGTCCTTTTAACTTGTCCCTCGCCTTTTTTGCAGTATGAGATTGGACATTGTCTTGGTGGGACAGAGTCCTTTTTCGACGAATAGATATCAGATATTTCTCTTTAGGCTTATTGCAGACTTGGTCTACAGTAGGTGGGCTAACTCATGAAATATCAGTCAAAATTTTGAAATGAGTCCTCGTTTCGAAAATATTAATTAGGGAGGGTTGTAGAACTAATTATTGTGAAGCCTAATTATATAATGATTCAGTCATCTCAGGGTGCCGGCTTACGAATGAACTCCTTTCCGACTGCATGCAAAAACTGCACTCTGGAAAAAATGACTGCATATTTAACATACATTTTTCTCATTGATTTTCGATGCCCCTAAAATTCAATTACATGTCATAAAAAATTTGCATAAAAATATTCATTCTTTTACATTTGCGGTAGGAACTTACGTTTTCTACCAATGTAATACTCGAAGGAGGGGTATAATTCGGTTTTCAAAGACGTTTCCGATTCCCGAATAATTTCGAACCCGACCTGCCGTTACACTTACATTCAGGGTTTCGAAACTACAGGCCGTGATTTTCCGCGTACGCGAAACCACACATTTCTCTACAGTATTTAAAGGAGACCATATAGGGTCTCTAAAAGTTAGCAGTGCATCTGAGCCATATTGTTAACTTTAAAAGCCACATTGGTAAATCCAGAGACATGGCGTTTTATGAATGGCCATTTCACGGTGTTAAAAAATCTAACAATTAGAAACGTTTTTAAACCGAATTTTACCCTTCCTTAGAGTTTAAAATTGGAAGAAAACGTAATTTGCTACTGAAAAGTAGAAGAACGAGTATTTTTATGCATGTTTTTCATGAAGTATAATTGAATTTTTAAGACTATGGAAAATGAGTGAGAAAATGCTGCTAATTAAGAAGTCATTTTCTGCAGAGTATAGTTCTTGCATTCAGCCGAAAAGGAGTTCGTTCAAAAACCGGCACCCCAAGGTAACTAAATCAGCATAGAATTATGCTTCATAATAATAAATTAATCTTTTCCATACGAGAATATATTTCGAAATATCGGCTGACATTTGACGAGTTATTCAACCTACTGTAGCTGTTGGTAGTAGAGATCGGAGTCGAGGGCAGAGCCATTCGGAACAAATTCAAAGCGAGGCACAAGTTCAAAATTCCATTCAACACATGTCATCATTCTCTTGCTGAACCGATATTGGCCTGACCTCTGGGGACCCAGTTCTTTTGTCGGTCGCGATTGACCAATGAACTTTTAGAATCGATTATTTAGAGGGTTGCCGATAGAAGCAAATAGACAAGTTTCAAAAAGTAGCTAAGAAGAAAAAGATGCAAAGATGCGATCATTGAAACAAGCATTTAATTGTCCTGACGTTTCGGATTCGCACTCGAACACACCATCAGAGACAATCCTTATCTGCGGCTGTCTCTGATGATGGGTCGGGTGAAAATCCAGGTCGTCAGACCAATAGACTTCCTGTACCAATGATCACATATTCATTTGGACGGTTTTGTAACAACTAGCGGCAAATTTCAATCTCTCGATTAGCTTATGCTTCGGTCAACTCATGTGCATCTTGATGGACAAAGTCAAGCAAATGCAAGTTACTCAGGATCGTTTTCTACTCGACTTCAATTACTGCTCCCAAATCACGACGGCTCGATGAGGGCTCATTTTCAACAATAAAAGCAAGTCCTCGCTGTTCAAATCTGATGGTCGATTGGAACAAGGCTGGTCCTCCAAACTGATGTCGTCAGAGTTAAAACGCTTGTACCAACGATAAACAGATGTGCCGTGCATAGACCCTTTTACCTTCCGCGTCACAGATCTCCTTCGAAAGTCTTCGTTTCCGGCAACAGTGAATCAGGATTCGAAGCTCATCTGATACATAGGAATAAAGTCAAAACTGTAACACATTTTACAACATTATAAAAAGGCCTCGTAAAAAGTATAAATATGTATAAAAAGCCCAAACACGTGTAAATGTGGACAGAACATCAAGCGAACTGGTAAATGTGGATAGAAACGTCAAAACAGGCAAAAATAATGTTCAATGCAAGTGTTGCAGAAATTTTGGCCACAACGTTGGTGAAAGTGAAAAAGTGTTCCGAATTTGCCGTTAAGTGGCATGTCTCGTCCTAATGCATGGAAAGCATTAATGATCTGAAAAGTCATACATTTATGGGTTGGCATCCATCTAGCACTTGAGGTATAATCTAGGACCAAAATACTCATTCTCACGTTTATTTATGAGGACAAATCTTACTTACTGTCAAACTTGTAGCATTTTTGAATCTAGTCTGATGGTTATTGGGAAGAAGGGGACTGGAGGTGTTCATTTGAGGACTTTAACTATATATTCTTAAAAGAAGCACACATGAATTGTGAAGTGCCACGGCTGCAGTATTTGTTGATGTTTAGTTTGCTAGATTTAACCCAGACGTTCGTAACAGTGGGGAAGAGGTTCCACGTAGAGAGAGTCCACCCACGTATAACGCGGGTACAACGATAGATGTGCATTTGGTAGAGTCATGTTACCGCAGTTTTTTGACACCTGCTTTGGCAGATTTTTTTCGCGTCAAAGCTTACACTGCCAGACAGCAGAAGTACAGTTAGTGACCGATCTCATGAAATGTTGGCTGAAATTCTGAAATGCGATTTCGATTAGGAGGATTACTTAGGCGCAGCTGTATTTCTGGTTAGCTTGCGGACTTAGCAGGATGTCATTTTTGCATACACTGCTTTTCAAAGTCCCGTAGAAGCCGTATTTATTGAAAAATGACTACTTAAGAAGCGTGCATTTTTCACATTGATTTTCGATAGTCCTGAAAATTGAAATACACCTTATAGAAACCATAAACAAAAATAGGCTTTCTTTCAATCGTTTGATAGAAAATAACGTCATCCACATATTTTATAAATGAAGAAGGAATATAGATAGGTTTCAAAAGGGTTTTCTAATTGCCGAGTAATTTGGAGCATGATCATTCGTTGCATTAGAGCTTAGGGATTTCAGTATGCAAGGTGCATGCGTTCCGCGTAAAAGAAGTCACATATTCTTCTATGCCTTGTAAAAGATACCAGATAGGGTCCATAAGATTTTGCAATGAATGCGGACTATCTCGTACTTTTCATGAGAAGCAGTGGTAAACGGACAGGTACGATGCTATGTCAACGGACATTGCGCGGTCTTGAAAAATCTCACAATTAGAAACTATTTTAAAACCTAATTATACTCAGATTGGGAAAGTTGAGAGATCCGGGAAGATTATTGAGAATGATCAGCTCTTCATTTATAAAATATACGAACGACGTTATTTTCTATCAAACGACTGAATGAAGGCCTATTTTGCTTATGGTTTCTGTAAGATGTATTTGAATTTGCAAGAACATCAAAAACCTAGGAGAAAAATGCATGCTACTAAAGTAGTCATGTGCTACAGAGTGCGGTTTTGTACAGGAGGTTAAAAAACAGTGTATTCAAAAGCTGACATCCTGCCAAGTCCGAAATACTAAAGCGTTATACCACAAGCTAATCAGCATTCAAACCGCGCCTAAGTAATCCTTCCCAGTCGAAAATATCAGAATTTCAGCCAACATTTCATGAGATCGGTCACGCACTGTACATGTTGTGCGGCACTGCTTCTTCGCTCTCCGACGTTGACAGTCCAGGCAAAAAGAGAAACAAAAATCCCATCCGCATTAAGGAGGAGCGGTTGCAGCCCGTCTCTTCGTCCAGATCGGAGGATCGATTTAGCCACTCTCTTGTCATTCTTCCAAGCCACGTTATTTAACTTGATTGAAAGGTTTCAAGGCGTATAGCCTTCTTTAAAGTCTGGAATATTCAGTGAGTGCTGTGATGTCGGGATCTCCACATTGGAGTTCACTCTCTATTCATTCTTCCAGGAATCAGACAACACTCCGGACCGATCAGTCATCTGAAGTAGATATGGGACAGGGATGCTGGACAGTGCTGAGACAGTCCGTCTCCGTGTGTCACACACAACCCATACCACCACCATATCACACCAAGTTTTCACGCAAACGAACTGGGCTACTGGGACTTCACAGACATGGGAGTCGGCACTGAGGAATTTCTGTTTGAGCATGTACGAGCCATTATATGGATGCCTGAAGCTCAGAGGGCTGTCACATCAGTTCAGTTCAACTTGACTTCTGTGAAAGGAGTTCCTGCTTTACAAACCTGCTTACGTCGCTCGGACATTGGTCAAAGGAGATGGCTGAAGGACATCCAGTGAATGTCATTTACCTTGATTTCAGCAAGGTACTTGATTGCGTTTCACATAAGCACCTCGTTCAAAGGTTTTTAGGCGTATGGACAAGAGGATGTCTCCGCAGTTGGATTCGACATTTCTCAAACGGTCGTATATAAAAGGTAATCTTGGTAACTACTGTTCAGAATGAACGTCAGTTTAAAGTGGAGTGTCACATGGGTCAGTTCCTGGGCCGCTCCTCTTTTTCATCTATCTAAGTCAACTAGTACGGGAAGGACAATCGAACACAGCGCCCTCTGCGTATGGTATTAAACTGCAGACTGTGGTACGCAAAATGCCATGTGGATGTGCCTCACTCATGATTTGATATTTAAAAGAGGGATTAAGATGTGCAGATAATCTACATCCAAACTACGGATAATCACATTGGACTGCACTCTTTCCTTTTGTCCAAAATTATGCTCTGTGTAAACGTCTCTTTCGCATTTGGTTCCAAATTCGGAAGTTCGGCATTCTAGACAGCTACCTCGAATGTATGCGTTTCTATGTTCCATTTCCTTTGAATTCACTATGACCACCAAACCTACTACTGGATATATACGGATGAGTTGCGTTCAACAGATTGCAGGACTGTTGATGGCGTGGTTGTCGCCCGCCTGCCCTTGGAAACATTGGACATGACGTCAGGAAGAATGGCTGCATCGCTACAGGATAGGAAGACACACCAATCCAGAGATCTAAAATAGTTATTTATTAAGTAGTTATCTACACAATCATAGTTTAGGTTAGTCCGAACGTTGCTGCTGTTTTTTGAAAAGGCAAGCGGTAAGCAACAATGAATTAATACATGGTCACTGTCAAGGAGGTCCTTTTTGAAAGCAACAAAAGAGGAGCAATGTCATAAGTAAAGATTAGATCGCAAATGTCATTATCTTTTGTTGGAGAGCGCACCAGTTGGGACCAGTTAGAAAGATTGACAATATCTTGAAAGGATTGAACTCTACGTGGAGAACTATTGGAAACCTAGTCTACTTCAGGAAGGTTAAAATCCCCAGTGATTATTTTAACATTGAAAGCAGCTTCCGAAATGGATTTAAAGATTTCACAGTGTTCCGAATTATCACCGGCTAAAGAATTTGGTGGATTTTAGATACAACAATTAATTGCCATTCTTTGCTTCGAGAGAATAACAGATGCGAAGCAGAAGTTCCCCGTGAATGAGGAAACATCCAAGTAATAGGGAGAGTGCTTTAGGCAGGATTTAAGATAAAGAAGACAACTGACCCCACGTCTAGTCGCGCGGTCTTGACGGTTAAAATCGATATCATCTATGATAAGGGCAGAGTCAGAAATTAGAGAGAGCAGAGAGCAAATTACTCCCAGGAGTTAGGGGACAGTTCATGGGATGCTACGTTGAGACTGCACTTGACATTCTACCATTGTAAATCCTATCTCATTAACCGACGTAACTTATCGGATTTCATTATTTACCTCTCAGGATCCATCAATTTGTTGTCCTGCAGCCGGGCACAAGATAATTTGCGTCATTAATCCTCGCTAGCTACAGACGCATGATTTATCATTTTCATCGTTGACTACCCTTCAGTCGAGTGAATTGCCATTTGAATAAATAAGGAGGATATTATGCTTCATATTTTTTCATTAACACTTTCTGTATCCGACACCAGAGTAGGACAGTATTTTGGGGCGCTTGAATTGTTGGCTGTTCTAGTAATCGGAGAAACTGCTCACCGCATTTCTTATGAACCGCATGTGATGCATAATCATTATTGCATTAATGCGGTCACTAAGCTAACGTCAATTAGTCAGATTTGCTGTTAGAAGACGGGGTCAATTCAAACCTTACTTCGGACGTTGTATACCTACCACATCGCAAGCCAACATAAAATAACGCAGGACAATGGATCCCACGGTTAAATGACTAACTTCTCGCCTTCCTAGGATTTTTTAAAGTCACTTTGCTTCGCCTGTGAGGCTATGAACCCAGCCGACATACCCTGTCGAATTTCACTGTTTAGGCCTCAGTATTCATCAATTCATTGTCCTGCGGCCGGACACAGGATAATTTGCGGCAATAATCTTCGCAAGCTACAGACGTATGATATATCATTTCCATCGTTGACTACGCTTTAGTCAACTGAATTGCTTCTTGCATAAATAAGGAGGATATTATGCTTTGTATATTTTATCTAGAACTTTATGTATGCGACAGAACAGGAGGAGAGTATTTTTGGGCGGTGAATATGTTTGCTGTTCTAGTAATCGGAGAAACTGCTCACCGCAATTGCTATAAACTGGTTGCGATGCCTAACAATTCTTACATTGAGGGGGTCACTACAATAATGTCAATTGGTCGGAATCGCAGAGAAGATGCTGGGTCGATTCGAACCTAACTTCGGACGTTGTCTGCCCACGGCATCCCAGCCCAACATAAAATTACACAGAAAAATGGGTCCCACATAACTATGGATAAAGTTCCAATATCATGATTAAATTCTCGCCCTCCTAGGCTTTTTCAAGTCACTTTGCTTCGCCTGTGAAGGTATCAGGCAATTCAAATGTCCTGAATCGATTTTGTGCCAGACTACATGTCGATCGATGTTGGGGCGTTTGAATGTGGCCAAACAGCTTGCACGTCAGAATTCACTGACTGGCGATGGCATACGCAACCTCGACTGCCTTGTTGAAATGCTCAAATCGGGGGACGCGGAAAGTGCGACAGATATACGGATGGATGGCCAGATTGGGCAAGAAGCGCTCTTCTGCGCTGTCCTCCAGAGGTAAGTGCTGCCTCCTTTGATCGTTGTAGCACTACTAAATGCACGTTAGTATGGAATTGGATTTTGGTTAAGATAATGTCTTGTGTTGAATTGTTCCCAGGCTCCCGTCTCTCAGTTCTAGCACTATAGTAAAATCAAGGCTGGATGGAAAATGGTGCAGTAGACACTTGTAATGTTTTCTTGGTGACCTAGCTTGAAATCATGCCAAGTGTCCCAGACACTATGGACGCTCTCGTACACCAACAATGTATCCGCCTACTCAATTAGTCACATGATCCCGGTCATATACGCCAGGCTGCATGTTGCGACTGCGTTGATTCCACAGAGTCGTTAGGACGACATGCATTTATGCCAATGTGCAAATATTGTCAGTAACTTTTCACGTTAGTTGTAGCCTTGGATATTACTTCTTACCAATTGAGATTTAGATAGGCAAATGTGAGGCGACCGGATTTGCGTAATGACACGTCGTCTACATTACCAGTCATCAGGCCCTTCCTTTCCCTCTTTCCTGCAGGTTGTCCGCAGTCGGACACGTCGGGGCCGGGGCTCAGTGGCTGGTTGTCGGTGCAGGAAGAGTCGCCCGATCACTCAGTAAGTCAGTCCTCTGGACGCATGATGATGATGATGATGATGACATTGACCAGTTAGGGCATTTTACATTCCATTGGTCGCTTAATGCTCCCAATAAACATCTTCCCTCTTGCAACGTCCAGGGTGTCCCACGCCTACTGGTGAAGATGGTCGAGGCCCTGCGCAGACGTGGCCTATGCATGGAAGGCATCTACCGAGTGCCAGGCCGAGCCTCAAAGATTCAGGCAATCATGCAGTTGGCCAATTCCGTAAGTCACCTACCTCATTAATCCTATGCATGCAGTGAAACTTCATGAATATTAAGCTGACTTACCCTTACATAGGTGTGTGTGTGCTAATATGCAGATTCGCACTTCTTTGCAATTTTAGAATGTGAGCGAGTTGTGTGACCGGCTGGTGTGGGACGAGGACGCTTTTGATGGTCGGGCAATTTCGTCAGCCATCAAGCTCTACTTGGCCACTATGCCTGTCAGACTTTTGAATCCCCATATGTTTGCCTCATTTGTGGCGTCGACGGCGATGGGGAGAGCATTGGAGAGAGGTGGCCGTTCTCTGCGGACACCAGTGGGCCTGGCTAGCGCACTATGCCAATTGCGAACAGCCCTCGTGAAGACCTTTGGCTGTCCCGGCAATTCGAAGTCTGAGGACCGCGAGAGGGGGTGGCGCCTCGCAACGCTGGACTTTGTCATGCGCCACTTCCGGGAGGTTGTGGCTCTTCAGGCCACTAACCGCATGTCGCCTCGCGCGCTGGCATTGTGCCTCGCGCCCTCCCTCTTCGGGTCCACGGAGAATGCGGAGACCAACAGTCAGGTATGCATTATAAAACAGCTGCTCCTTTTCATGTCTTTCCATGCAAACGCCGCATTCTTTAGTGGTCATTACCTGCTGCTTATGCTATTTCATGTCTGCCACCATCACCATCAATAGGTGCTGGAGCTGCTAATTGAGCACTGGCCCTGGCTGTCAGAGTGTCTGCACCGGGGCAGCCAGCTGGTGTCCGCAGACCGTCTAGGCGAACCGGTATCCGACGCCTGTCTCTATGCTTGCCGGTAAGTCTCATAATGCCCACATCCCTCCTTGCCATTATTTCGACTTCATATATCCTGACATTCACGCTTAGTAGTAGACTTGCTTAGTTTCTTACTGTGCACTCATTTGCATATAAATTCATGCGAACATTTTAGCCATGCTATAGTTCTTGAGGATTTTGTCGCTGGCGACCTAGTTGTCACACTGAGGACTGCAGTACGGCCTCCATGACAGCACAGCTATTTTTCATTCCAGTCCAAAGCATAGGCTACACCAATTAAACTAGAGTGCTGTTCAATCTAAGGGGTACTCAACCATGGCTCACTGAACACTCTCTCTCCCTTCTAGATACCAGCGTCATTGCTTCCTGCAGTCTCTCTGCCTACCACCGACCCTCCCACCGTCGCCGCCGCCGCCGTCTTCAGTCGACGGAGTTCGTACTGTCGCGTGTACATAGCTTTCGTTCGAATTATCCACCCATCAGTATTTGCCCCATTATAAGTGTGATTCTCCCTCGTCCCTATTTTTGAACTTTTGGACAGTATTATTCCTTGGTCTCATGTTTATTCCATTTCACGCATTTGACGCTGTTTCGCTGACGTGCACTTTCCCTCTTTTTCGCCCGCGCTAACCCGCAGTGTTATATTACATTTGTTCCGCCCCCTTACCACAGCCGTAATTCACTTTCTTGTTATTGGAATGATTATCCTTGGTCCCGACTTTTGTCATTTTCCTTGTTCTCATGTCCATTCCACTTTACATAATAAACCCTGTTCTTCTAACCTGCACTCTCTCTCTCTCTCTCTTTACCTCTCATCTGGATTATTTGGGCAAGGTCTTATGTTGGTGCTGGGTCTGGTCATAGTCTGCAGACAGGAAGTTGATATCAACAGGTGTATTTACATAGGGAGAATTTTGCTAAGTGAGGCTTACGTGACACAGATAGAGACGAGTTTGCGAGTCGATGGTTGGTACTGTCACAACGACTGACTGCAGTAGCATCTCAAATAAATAACTGCTTCCAGTAGTTCGATTCTGGCAAGAATGACTCCAGTGGTTTACAATCACCGCAGTCTGTTATTATTACTATCATCATTGCAGTGTCGATTTGCCGATAAGTCTCAAATTTGGAAGTCCTCTGTGTTGATTGGAAGCGACTACTTCAGGTGATGCGATTGAAGATCACGGCCTCCAGTAGTTCAGCCACGTATTCCACCGTGATCAACAGGAATAGCCACATACGGAGAAGGGAAATATTATAGAAGTGTATCCAAAGATATCCTGACGGGGATGGTGGATGTGGTACTTGTACATGTGCTCGATACGACTACGATCATGCCTGATCTAGCTGGCCTCGATGATGCCCCAAACTGTACCTCTCCATGCGTGATGATGCGAGGTAGCAGGTCTGCCCATGTGTGTCCTGATGGACAAAGTTAAGCGAATGCAGGTTACTCATCATCGTTTTGTGGTCGACTCCAATTACTGCTCCCAAATCACGACGGCTCGATGACGGCTCATGTTCAATAGTAAAAGCAAGTCCTCGCTGTTCAACTCTGATGGTCGGCCGGAACGAGGCTGGTCCTCCAAACTGATGCCGTCACAGTTAAAACGCTTGTACCAACGATAAACAGATGTGCCGTGCATAGACCCTTTTACCTTCCACGTCACAAATCTCCTTCAAAAGTCTTCGTTTCCGGCAACAGTGAATCAGGATTCGAAGCTCATCTGATACATAGGAATAAAGTCGAAACTGGAACACATTGTACAAAATTATAAAAAAAGGCTTCTTTAAAAAGCATAAATATGTATAAAAACATCAAAAACACGTTTAAATGTGGACAGCACACCAAACGAACGGGTAAATGTGGATAGAAATGTCAAAACAGGCAAAAATAACGTCCAGTGCAAGTATTTCAGAAATTTTGGCCACAACGTTGGTGAAAGTGAAAAAGTGGTCTGAATGTGCCGCTAAGTTGCATGCCTCGTCTTAATGAATGGAAAGCAATAATGATCTGAATAGCCATACATTTGTGGGTTGCCATCCGTCTAACACTGGAGGTACAATCTAGGACCAAAATACTCTTTCTCACTTTTATCTATGAGGACAAATCTTCGTTGCTGTCAAACTTGTAGCATTTTTGAACCTAGTCTGTTGGTTACTGGTTTATGGCCTTTCTTTTTCCGTCCAGGTTTCGTGGTGCCACATACGCCGATCGCAACAACATCCGCTTTTGTTTCTCCCTTTGGCGCTATGCGCTCGAACTGCAGCGTGTCTTCCTTGAGCCGCTGTGCCATGTCTCGCAGTCTTCCTTCCTCAGCTTTGCCGAACTCTTTCACATCATCCTCTGCAACAGTTATATCGGTTTGCCGGCGGTCGGACTGGACCCCACCCTCATTGTGGATTGCATAGAGCTGTCTGTGGACAATATTGAACGGTAGAACCCCATCACCTTTGCATTTTTTTACTGATTGGACGACTTTTGACCAAAGTTAATGCTAAATGTTTAATTAGGCGGGTGTGCCTCTACAACGAACCATGCGGGAGACGCTCTGGACCAACACGAGGGTCAAGATGTGGACACGGCACACGTCAAGCAGGCTGCGCAGAGTTCGAGGATCCCTTAACAACTATGACTCACCGGGGGGGTAAGGTCGCACGTCCAGCCGCAGGCTACACTCCGCGCCAGTCATTTGCGTCCAATCCCCGCACCAGGCGGTTGACAGGCCCAGACAGTTGAGTAAAGTGCTTACACTGGCAGACAGCAGAAGTACAGTGAGTGACCGATCTCATGAAATGTTGGCTGAAATTCTGAAATGCGATTCCGATTAGGAGGATTACTTAGGCGCAGCTGTATTTCTGGTTAGCTTGCGGTATACTCCTATGATATTTCGGACTTGGCAGGATGTCATTTTTGCATACACTGCTTTTCAATGTACCGTAGAAGCCGTACTTATTGAAAAATGACTACTTAAGTAGCGTGCATTTTTCACATTGATTTTCGATAGTCCTGAAAATTGAAATACACCTTATAGAAATCATAAACAAAAATAGGCTTTCTTTCAATCGTTTGATAGAAAATAACTTCATCCACATATTTTATAAATGAAGAAGGAATATAGATAGGCTTCAAAAAGGTTTTCTAATTGCCGAGTAATTTGGAGCATGATCATTCGTTGCATTAGAGCTTAGGGATTTCAGTATGCAAGGTGCAGCGTTCCGCGTAAAAGAAGTCACATATTCTTCTATGCCTTTAAAAAGATACCAGGTAGGGTGCATAAGATTTTGCAATGGATGTGGACTATCTCGTGCGTTTCATGAGAAGCAGTGGTAAATGGACAGATACGATGCTATGTCAACGGACATTGCGCGGTCTTGAAAAATCTCACAATTAGAAACTATTTTTAAACCTAATTAT